AGAAAGACGAGTAACACACCAGATGGCGTGTTTCTATTTCTTAATAAAAAAAAGTGAGAAGTGTGACATAACCTTGGCTCGAGTTACTGTAGTTTTCTTTTAAAGATCATATCTTGGTATGGAAGAAATTGGAGCCAAATGTTAAATATTTAATCTTACTTATAATAGGTCATATTTATTACTTCTCTTTATAATGTCTATTTGTAACTTAGAGGGAGGTGGAAATAACATGTTTTAAAACCAACTAAAAATTATTATTTTTATTAACACCTACTCAAAGTTCCTGCACATTATTTCAAATTAGAAATGTAAAAAATTATATTGGCAATTATTTATAAATACAACAAATATGGAAAACAGGATATGGTGTCGTCCTCTAAGGCAGCTGTTTTAATAAATAAATTATCAACAACAAATAAATAATATTCAATATATTTCAATATATTACCCACTGAACATTACGGCAATACTGCAAACCACATTTAAAAATATAATGAATTTAATATATTATTACATTATGATGTATATTCTATTTAATGTACCACAACTAGAAAACAATAACAAATAATCATATTCAAAATGTTCGAAAATATTACTTACTCAACATTCCCACCATTTGCAACCCCGCACCCCAATAAGTTACAAATTTTCATTCATAAATGTAACAAATATTATTAGCTTCTATAATGCTTAATAGATCACCTACCCAACACATTAAGAAAATAATTCACTTTTTAATAATCAATACAATATAAATAATAATATTGAAAATATATCACCTACTCATCAATGCAATTTTTTAAATAATTATAATTCTATAATTCTTAACAGATTAATAATGTACCATATTTGGAAAATTATTCTGAAACATCATGTTTTTAAAGAAAATTCTATATGTTTTTTATTTAGGACCTTTTGGACCCTTCAAGGTTTTAAGACAATGATCTAACCCAGACCACCTTAAATATTTTTTCTCAAGCCTCCTTAAATCAATGGTCCTCCATCGGCAGTTGCCATGGCAACTATGGGAGAAGTCTCTTTTTCAGGCTCTTTCATTCACTGAGTGGCTTATGTATATTTGAGTGCATTGAATGCTCAAGTGTAAATATGAGCGTGTGCATATGTGCCGGATGCGTCTTTAAAATTCCTGTGAAATTTATGCTCTCAAAACCAACAAGCAGGGCTGATTAATTAGCAAGCACAGAGTAAATTTTGGAGCGTGAGAACAATGGAAAAATGATTCCATTGTTGCTAAATTAAACAGGCACACCTCTAAATTACACCAAGAATTGTGAGTAACATTGATTTTGACTGCAAAATTAGGTAGACACAAACAGATCATCTTTTATCTAACCTTTGATGGGAATTTACGATGAACATGGCAACTATGGGAGAAGTCTCTTTTTCAGGCTCTTTCATTCACTGAGTGGCTTATGTATATTTGAGTGCATTGAATGCTCAAGTGTAAATATGAGCGTGTGCATATGTGCCGGATGCGTCTTTAAAATTCCTGTGAAATTTATGCTCTCAAAACCAACAAGCAGGGCTGATTAATTAGCAAGCACAGAGTAAATTTTGGAGCGTGAGAACAATGGAAAAATGATTCCATTGTTGCTAAATTAAACAGGCACACCTCTAAATTACACCAAGAATTGTGAGTAACATTGATTTTGACTGCAAAATTAGGTAGACACAAACAGATAATCTTTTATCTAACCTTTGATGGGAATTTACGATGAAACTGTGCTGCCCCATGAGGATCATAAGCTAACAGACATCTGAATTAAATTCTGAATCATGTACATGTCTGAACTTTGAAGACAGACGTGGATCAAATTTGCAATGCAGAGTGATTTCTTCCCAGCAGTTATTATTGAACATAATGGAAATCAATCATGATTATGTGTATGAGCTTATGTTGCTGCACAGACGTGCCCAAAAAATAGATCTATGCTGTACTACAGAGAGGGATATTAGTAGTCATGTCACAGAGAGGCATTAAAAGGCCTGTGGAAAGAGATATTGATTTCTCTGGCCCCATTAAATTGCATTTTAATTCAACAGAGGGTTTCAAAGATGGTAGATTTGGGTACACAGAGCCACCATGCATGTTTAACAGCCTGGCTGAAAAAAAAACATAAAAAATACAGGTTTTGAGCAAGCTAATGAATATATCATGCTGACTTGTGCTCCATTTTTAGAGCACAGGTAATATGATAAGTGTGAATGAAGAAATAAAAAATGAACAAAAGAATGAATGGCTGTAAAAATGAATAGATGGCTTTATGGAAGCATAGATGGATGGATGGATGGATGAACAAATAAATTAATGCATGGAGGGTAGAAGAATGCAGATTAGATGGCTTTATGGATAAATGTATGAACAAAAAAATAATGAATCAACGGAAAGGAGGATGAAGGAAGGAAGGAATAAATAGCTTTATGGTCAAATGAATGAATGAATGAATGGAGGATAGATCCTCAAACAATTGGTGACTTAATGAACAAACAAAACAGAAGAGAGAAGAGAGAATAGATAGCCTAAAAGATGGATGGATTAACAAACAAATGAATCAATATGCAAATGAATGAATGAATAGAGGACAGATGATTAATGGATGAATGAATAAAACAAACAAACCAATGGATAAAGTCTAAACAAATAAACTAATGAATGACTAGAATGAAGGATAAATGACTGCTTTATGAATTAATGAATGAATAGAGGATAGATCCTCAAACAATTGGTGACTGAATGAACAAACAAAACAGAGGATGGATGGATGGATGGATGGAGAAATGAATCAATGAGCAAACGAATTAATGAATAGAGAATAGATAGCCTAAAAGATGGATGGATTAACAAACAAATTAACAAATGAATTAATATGCAGAATGAATGAATGAATAGAGGACAGATGATTAATGGATGAATGAATTAAACTAACAAACCAATGGAGAAAGTCTAAACAAATAAACTAATGAATGACTAGAATGGAGGATAAATGACTGCTTTATAGATGGATGGATGGATGAATGAATGAATGAATGAATAGATGGATTTATGGAAGCATAGATGGATGAATGAATGAACAAATGAATGAATGCATGAAGGGTACAAGGATGGATGTATGAATGTAGGTTAGATGGCTTTATAGATGAACGTATGAACAAAAAAATAATGAATGAATGGAAAGGAGGATGAATGAAGGAATGAATAATTAGCTTTCTTATCAAATTAATAAATGAATGAACAAACAAAGAAATGAATGGAGGATAGATTTTCAAAGGATTTGTGACAATGAACAAATGGACAGAGGATGATGGATGGATGGATGAATCAATAAGCAAAAGAATGAACGAATAGAAGACAGATAGCTAAAAAGATGGATGGATGAACAAACAAAGGAATAAATACACAAATGAATCAATATGCATATGAATGAATGAATGAATGAGTGAATGAATGAATAAATGAATGAATGAATGAATGAATAGAGAACAGATGGCTTAATGGATGAATGAATGAACAAACTAACAAACCAATCGAGAAAGTCTGAACAAATAAACTAATGAATGACTGGAATGGAGGATGGATGAATGCTTAAAAGATGAATATATGAATATATTTATGATCGAACAAATAAATAACTGAACAAGAAAAGGAATGGAGGATATATACTTAAGGATGTGTGAATCAATAAAACAAATGAATAGAGGATGGAAGGATGGATGAATGGATAGATGAATGGCTATATGAATAAACAAACGATTAAACAAGCAAACAAAAGAATGGATAATAAATACTTAAAGGATGGGTGAATCAACTAACAAACAAACAGAGGACTGAACAAACAACAAATAAATCAACAAGTAAATGAATGAATAGAGGACAAATGGCCTAATTGATTAATAAAAAACAAAAAAAAATGGAGGAATGTTTACATATGGAGGGATAGATAGACGAATGGAAGGCTTAGCTACAGTGCCTTGCGAAAGTATTCATACCCCATTCATTTTTTCACATTTTGTTATGTTGCTGCCTTATGTTAAACTGCTTTAAATTACTTTTTTCCACATCAATCTACACTCCATACACCATACTGACAAAGCAAAAAACAGAATTGTCACAACTTCATAAATTTATTAAAAATAAAAAAACTGAAATAAGTACATTACATAACTATTCATACCCATAACTAAATATTTTGCTGCTTGAGTCTGGCCACTCCGACATAAAGCCCAGATCGGTGGAGTGTAGCAGTGATATTTGTCCTTCTCTAGATTTCTCCCATCTGCATATATGATCATGGAGCTCAATGGAATCATTTAAGTTTTTTATTTGTAATAAATTTGCTAAGATATTAAAAACCTGTTTTTTGCTTTACCATTATGGTGTATGGAGTGTAGATTGATGTGGGAAAAAAGTAATTTAAAGCAGTTTAGCATAAGGCAGCAACTTAACAAAATGTGAAAAAAATGAAGGGGCATGAATATTTTCGCAGGGCACTGTATATGACTGAACAAATGATTGAAAAAGCAAACAAATGAATGGAGGATAGATGCTTAATAGACAAATGGATGGATGAATGAATGAATGAATTAATTAATTAATTAATGAATGGCTATATAGATTGGTGGCTTTATGGCTGGTTGGACATATGGTTGAACAAACAAAAAAATAACTAATGAACGAATAAACAGATAAATGTATACATCAACGCTGAATAAACCTGTCATTCATAAACACAGTGTGCAAACATCATGATCTAGTAGTTTGTCATTCTGGATGTTTCATGAAACCAGAGCACAATCTGATCGTGTTCTGACATCACGAAAAATCCCACAAAATAGAAACCTCCCCCTCAGATTTCATGTTACAATCTTTTACGCGTACATCTCCGAAGGGAAAATACAAGTAGAGGTCACAACATCAAATTTCTCCAAGCGTAAAAGAGAGCAACACACTCACACATGTGTTAACACACTCAAACACTCACCATCTTCCTCACACTCCTCTGGTGGCTTGGCTTTCTTTGCTAGTCGAGGGTCGAGCCATGACGTCGTTTTGGTATTGTGACTGAAAAGAAAAATATTGTTAAGCTACCATGATACGAATCAAAAGCGCCTCTATGTGTGTTATGTCAGGCAAACTTTGGTACAAGCCTAACTTTGAAATGTAAAACATTCTAGACTAGATATCCCAGAAGGCCTCAGTCACAGTGGCTGGGGGTTTTTCCAGTTAACACAATGACAATCAATACTTTTAATAAGTCCCTCGTTTCTCATTAAGGACAGATGGGAGGGAGACGAACATCTCTCTCATGCTCTTAAGAACACTCTTCCCTCAGCTACTCTGGCAGATTCAGTTTTAGTGATTCATTTATCATCATGATTCATGGCTCAGCAAAATCCAATGTGCCAGTTCATCCCTAAAGTGGTACCATGTGATATATACTGAATAATGTTTTTATTTAAAACTAAATTTAAAAAATTAAATACAAATTCATGCATTATTTATTTATACAAGAACATTAAAACAAATGCAGATTTAAATATCAACAGCAAAAATGACATTAGAATTGAAAAAGTTTCAATAATTCTGTGAATCAGTTCAAAATCTGTTTCAAGGAATCGAGTTATAAAAATCTTAATCTGATTTGCTTGCATCATCACTAAAATGTTCATGAAAGTACATGTGCAGTATTGAATGTATTAAAATTGGTTAGTAATAAATAAATAAATTAATTAATTATGACTTTTTATTTCCAGTTATAATTATATATTATATTATATTATATTATATTATATTACATTACATGTATTATATTATATACTTAATTTTTATATAAATATAAATATAAATTAAAATAATGTTTTTTATTTGTTATATCATCCCTCTAGAATTAAACATTTTGGTAACATTTTGTGAAAAGGTTATGTTAACATTAACATGTTTACATCATTAACATTAGTTAATTTATTTCATGTAATGTATGAACTAACATTAACCAACAATGAGTAATATATTTGTAATTCATTAGCATTTATTAATCTTTCTTAACATTAGTTAATAAAAATACAACTGTTCAATGTTAGTTCATATGAGCTCAGGTGCATTAAATAATATGAACAATACGATTTTTGATTTTGAAAATGCATTAGTAAAGGTTCAAATTCACAAAGTAAGATTAATAAATGTTTTATGTACTTCAGGCTAACTAATGTAATTAACTAATGTTAACAAATGAAAACTCAGTGTAAAGTGTTACCAATATTTTAAATCAAACTGCCTTGTTTGACTGAAATTATGAAAAATGAATGAAAATATGAATTTACAATATTTATATATTAATCAAATTATTTATATTAAGTAATTTTACATTAATTAATACAAATTAATTTCAATAAATTTCAGAGGCAATTACTTAAACTGAATTCCATCAAAAGAATAAAAAACAAATTATAATTTTAGCTACTGAACATTTCCAGCCCTACCATGTGCTGAAGTCCAGCAAATAATTTCCAAAATGCAAAATGCAGTAAACTGAACTGCACTGAACTGAATGAGCTCAATATGGCACACATAAATAATTCAGCTATCCGTAACGATCTGTAAAAGAGGACACTGCAACAGGTAGCGCTCCATATGCTCAAACCTCTTTCATTATGAAGTGTGCTTTGAAGTGCACTTCACTCACTCTATGAAGTAAACTTCTCCTTTCTCAGTGTAGGCCATCTCCCAGTTATCTGGCAAAGGGCCCATTTCGTCATTCTCCTGGGAGTCCTGTGGGGACTTGGGGGTGTCTCCTTCCTCCTCAGGGGCATCTGTGGTGGTGAGGGTGGGGGTCTCGGGTGGGCACGGCTGGACAGGCACATCTCCGGAAGCGTCAGTGCTCTTGTCCTCGTGTTCACTCGATTCTGTGAGGGAAAACAAAACGAATCAGTGTTGAGCATGACCTTCTGACTGAGAGACTTATTTGACTGTAGAGTGTCGTAAAGGATGGTACAAAGAGATACGAGTACATAAAGCAAACAAGTAATGACTAAGAGTAGCTATGTTTCCATCCACCTATTTTTATGCACATTTAGGAATATTGGATGGAAACGCCAAGATGCGCAAAAATTCTAAAAATGCACATAAAAAAAAAACTTATGCGCACAATTGAGTAGGATAAATGTTTTATTCGATAAGAAAAAAAATGTGCATTAACTATGATGGAAACACATTTACTGAATAAATTCCACCATGCGCATCGAAAAAGTAATGTGACTTTGCACGATGGGACGGGAAAACTTGACTAACCAGCGGACCGATCTTGTTGCACAACATCGGCTGTCGTCAAAGTATTTCAGTATAATTGTCTTACTCGACTGCGTCCCCAAACAGCAGGCATCCACCTCCAAAAGCAATGACAGCATTTATTGTGTTTCGTCTGCTCGCTCTGAGGCGCAAGTAATTTATCATATATGAAAATTATTATATTAAGTGGCTTCTCCTACTTTTTAGTATAGTAGAGTAGTTTTAAGTAATATTTAGTGCCAGTTTATCAGGAAGTGACGAATTTGTTCTCTTTGACTCGTTGGATGGAAACTTGCTTTATTCGCAAATGTTTTATGCGATATATATATTCTATATGCGATATAGTTTTGTGCATAAGTTAAATTCACATCTTTGGATGGAAACATAGCTACTGTCAAAATTAATTCTTACTAAAAAGCCTTACCAGCCTTACTAAAAAGTGCTTCAACAGCCCAGTATGATTCAAAACCTCATCTTGGAGTTACGTAACAACTGAAAACATCTTTCATTAACCCACATTCATAATTGACTCAGTCGGGTCAGTACTATCTCAGTAACAGTGGTAGGTCGTAACCTGGTGTGATGGCGATGCCGTTGCCATTGACGACTGGGCTCTCTTCCTCCTCCTCTTCTGGTGGCTCAATGCTGTCCTTCTCCATGTTGCTGACGGACTTATTCCTCTTCCTTTTTCCCTCTGCACTGGGTCGGGCACCGGGCAAGAGTTGGTCCGTCACATTAAACAGCATCGGCGTGGGTTCGGCAGGAGGCTTTGGCGTGCCATAGAAGTTATCTAGAAACAACACATTTTGGAATTTAATCTAGGAAAAATCGCTTTCGCAGCTACTTTGCATGCAAAAAGGTGAAGTCTGACTTGAAGTAACTTTTCAATAACTTCGCTGGGGTAATTTTTTTTCTGAGTGATGTTTGCCGTTACGGCACCCTCGTTCACCGGCGACTAAATCGTTTCATTCAAGATTGAAAAGAAATCATGTGTATCCAGGGAAATCTGTTTAATGATTAAAAACTGAGCTCCTGTGTGGTTACGGCACAGGCTTTATGAATTAATTTGCAGGTCTGTGGGGACAGAAACAGAAGAGGTGAAGTTCATCGATTCATTTAAATTACACCCTGTGACCCAGAATTATAGACTGGGAGTGGACTAACTTCAACTCAACAAAACCACATGAAATCTATAAAATCAATATACAGTACCTATATACTGTGCTGACTTCTATTTAAATATCCTGTTAAATTAAAAACTGCTGTTTTTACTGTGCTGACGTGAACCATGATTTCATGCTAGCTATTAGTCAGAGACAGATGGTTCATTCTAGAGAGCATTTAATTGGACAAATATTTGCATGCACAATTGTTCTTATTATTTCATGCAAAAAAAGTCTTGATTGCCCATCATTGAAAATACAGTAAAAAAAAAAAAGAAAAAAAAACAGTTTAATATTATGAAATAGGCCTATTATCAATTAAAATATCGGTTTTCTATTTGAATATATTTTAATATGTAATTTATTTCTGTGATTAAAAGTTGAATTTTCAGCATCATTACTCCAGTCATTCACTCAACTCACGATTCGATTCGATTCGATTCACGATTTTGATTTCACGATTCGATTCACAATTTTTTTTTTTACAAAATGAGATTTAAGACAAATTATAAATGAAATGTGTCCTTTTATTATTGCTTGGACAAAATACTGTACGTTTCTTTGTGAAATTTAAATATAACACTATAATAATATACTAATATAGCACTTGTAAATTATTGCTCTTTTGTTGGTTTTGATTGCTTCTATTGCCCTCATTTGTCAAAATTTGTTAGTCGCTTTGGATAAAAGCGTTTGCTAAATAACAAAATTTTAATATAATGTAAATGTAAATAACAAAACTAAATTGAAATTTTAAAACAAGCCCCAAATCAAATAAATAACACAAATAAAATAAATCTCTTCATATAAACAAACTA